GGTCAAAGCGTCCTAAAAATGTAGAAGACTACGATCTTATGCGTCTCGGACAGTGCGGATGTCGGCGGGTTCGATTCGAAGAACGACAGAGGGGGACCGGCAGGCGAGAGTCGGCTGGCTGCATGTGCTAAAAATGGCTCCAGGGTTCTGTCGCGCACGCGTGCTCTCTCTGGGTGCGGGCGGTGACGCCAGCGACTGTGCCAGTGGCCACAACGGTTTGAGATTGTCTTTCCGAAAAAGATACGGTTGCGTGATTTTAGCTTCAAGGAGGCAGGTCCGGATACGCTGGCCGCACGTCATGCGATCGGATAAAAGCCAACATGCGTCTCGTCCAGCTTGTCTACTGCGTCCTTGCGGCGCTCCTTGGTGGCGTGGCCGCGGGCGTCGACCTCGCCTTCCCCGAGCACGATGCGGTCGCTGCGGTGACCGACCTCGTCGTACGCCGCCTCGGCCATCGCTACGTCGAGCAGGTACGTTCATCGAAGACCCAAGGCGCAGGATCGATGCGTGGGCCATCTAGTTTACCTTTGCCACGATGGCACCGACCAACGATGGCCTCGACGTGGCCGAAGTGAGCTCAAGTCACGGCAAGATTCGCCTTGCGGGCTCGAGCGCCACCGCCTTGGGCTATGGGTTGCAATGGTTGGCTCAACGACACGTCGCGCCCTGAGAGCTAAGGCGCACGTAGGTACCTCAAGACGGTCGTGCACACGCAGACCGACTGGGAAGACCATGCGCTGCAGCTGCCGCCAGTGCTGCCGCTGCCGCATGGCAGCCACCGCCTCGAGAAAGCCTCCAAGTACACGTACTACCAAAACGTGTGCACGGTGAGCTACACGTCGTGGTCATGGTCCTGGGCGAAATGGGAGAAGCACATTGACTGGATGGCGCTCAACGGCATCAACATGCCGCTGGCCTTTACGGGCCAAGAAAAAGTGTGGCAGGCGACATTTGAGCAGTTTGGCATCTCCAAGGCCGGCATGGACAAGTTCTTTGCTGGCGCCGCGTTCCTCGCGTGGGGTCGCATGGGCAATCTCCGCGGCAGCTGGGTCAAGGGCCCGTTGCCACAGGCGTTCATTGACGACCAGTTTGAACTCCAAGTGCGCATTCTCGCCCGGATGCGCGCGTTTGGGATGCTGCCGGCGCTGCCCGGGTTTGCCGGCCATGTCCCGGAAGAAGTCGCATCCAAGTTTGCGAACGCGTCGATCTCGCGGTCGCCGAATTGGGGCAACTTTCCTGACGCGTACTGCTGCGTCTACATGCTCGAGCCGACCGACCCGCTCTACCTCGCGATCGGCAAGACATTCGTCGCCGAGCAGCGCCGCTTGTATGGCTACACGTCGTCTTTGTACCAAGCCGACACGTACAATGAGATGGACCCGTCGCATTCGGATCTGCCGTACCTCGCGAAAGCGTCCAAAGCCGTCATCGACAGCATGGTCGCTTCGGATCCGAACGCGGTCTGGCTCATGCAAGGCTGGCTCTTCTTGAGCGACTACTGGAACAACGACCGGATTCAAGCCTACGTTGGCGGTGTCCCGGACGACAAGCTGCTCATCCTCGACCTCTACAGGTACACAAACCGATGCCTCGCGTTTACTTCTATCGTCTAATTGTACTTGGTATGTAGTGAGGTGGTGCCGATCTGGGAGAAGAGCCACAACTACTTTGGCAAGTCGTGGATTTACTGCGTCTTGCACAACTTTGGAGGCAATCTCGGCTTGAAGGGCGATCTACCCACGCTCGCGTCCGACCCGGTTGCGGCCCGTCGTCGCAGCAACGGCACCATGGTCGGTGTCGGGCTCACGATGGAAGGCATTTATCAAAATTACATCGTGTACGACCTCGCGCTCTCCATGGCGTGGACAGCCGCCGCCGTCGACGTGCCGTCGTACGTCCATCGCTTTGTGACGGCGCGCTACCACAGCGAGGACGCCTACGCCCTTGCCGCCTGGACAATGTTGTCGTCGTCTGTGTACAACGCCACGAAAGCGTTTGGTGGCGTCACCAAGAGTATTGTGACGCGCCGGCCGCACTGGCACCTCGACGCGTCGACGTTCATGCCCTCCAACATCAGCTACGACCCCAGCGCAGTCGTGCACGCGTGGCAGAGCCTGCTCACGGCCGCGGTCTCGTCGCCGGCCCTCGCCACCACCGACACGTACCTGCACGATATCGTCGACGTGACGCGCCAAGCACTCAGTGACGCCATCTTGATCGACTACAAGCAGCTTCGGCACCTCTTCCGCGCTGGCACCGTGGCCTCGAGCAAGGTAGTGCAATGGAGGATGGGATCTGGACTGTCGTATTTGATTAGGTACATGCGATCGCCCAACGCATTTTCGACCAGATCGCTGCCATGGACCGCGTGCTCGCGTCCCATGAAGACTTTCTCCTGGGCAAATGGCTCTTTGACGCAAAGGACCTCGCTGGGAACGACACGAGCCTTGCCTTGTACTACGAATACGAAGCCCGCAACCAAGTGACGCGCTGGGGCGACAACAACGGCAACGCGATCGGCGACTATGCGGGCAAGCAGTGGGCGGGCCTCGTCGGCAGCTACTACCTCGTGCGCTGGCGCATCTGGCTCAACGAAGTCTGCCGCGCGTACGAGGCCAAGCGACCGGTGAACGAGACGGCGACCAAGGCGGTTATGGAGACGTTCGAGCTCGGGTGGCAGACCGAGACCATCTCGTACCCGATCGCCGCGCATGGCGACACACTCGCCATCTCCAAGGCTATTTTGCACGAGTTCTTTGGCGCCGTGTCGGTCTATGATGCGAGCGTTGACTTCTTGCCTGCCCTTGCCCACTGAATCGCCAAAGCGAGTTTGATCGAGTCGACGTCGACTGTGCAGAAGTAACAAGATTAACCCGACAGTCCGGCACTGTCTCGTTGGGTGGCGAGGTCGAACGAAGAGACATTGTCGGACGAATACGCTGGATGCTGGATTGGAAACGAGAGACACTGTACGAAACGATTCGGGATTGGAGGATGCATGACGTGGCAGTTACAGAACGAGAGATACACTATGACGTGGCGCAACGAGGGCACACTAGGGCAGTACGGTGAACGAGTCGAGGGGCTTGGCCGTGTTGTCATGGGCGATCCACACCACTTGCATGTTGGTGCGCGTGGCGATGATGCGCGACGTGCCATAGATGTCGCCCTCGGCAAACGCCGACCACTGTGGCACCGACGAGACGCGCCGACCGCCGTGGCCACGGCCGCCCGCACCCGTCGTAACGTACACGACGCCCTTGGCCTTGTCGACCTTGTTCTTGAAGACAGGGTGCGTGCGCTCGTACGCGTGGCAGTGCCCAGCAAAGACGACGTTGACGTTGAGCTTGCTGTAGACGTCTTCGAACTTGGCTTGGAGGCCACAGTGGGGCTCGGACGACGCCTTTTTGTACTTGCCGGCCCAGCACGACTCGACGTTGTTAATCTCGAACGGCGTCGACCCGCACACGCACTGGTGGTCGTCAAATGTGCTGTAGAACGGGTTGTGCTTGATGACAATCACGTACGGTGTCGTCGATCGGTTGACGGCCGCCAAGTCCTTTTGGAGCCACTCGAGTTGGTGGTTGCGCTCGGCGAGCCAGCGTTTGCCGCCAACACTCCCGCTTTGCGAGCCGACATAGTCGTCAAGAAAGATTGCATGGACAAGACCGACGTTGATGGCGTAGTACGTCCGAAACGCCGCCTTGTTGGTCTCGGAGATTGGACCGGGCACGCGTCGCAGGTACGCCTTGTACTTTTCACCGCCCACCGTGACTTCGTGGTTGCCATTGATACCCGTGGTCGGCAGTATCGAGAGCGTCGGCTCATGCAAGTCGAACCACTTGTCCCACTTGTTTTGCTTCCCGTTGGCGTACGTCCAGTCGCCGGCGACGAGGATCGCTTGCGTCTTGTGGCCGTGGACTGGCGTGCGAAAGCTGCGGAGACTCCGGTCGTTGAAGTCCATGTCACCGACGATGCCAAGCACGGTCGGCGCGGCGCTGTCGCCAGGCGCCGGTGGGGCCACGAACGATGCCTGGAACGACCCGATCGAGTACGCATACATCTTGCGAGGCGTGAGTTTGCAGAGGTCGGCCGTGTGCAAATAGGGTGACTTGTAGCTCCCGTCCGAGTACATGGTGGACGTCGATGTGGCGACTTGGTTGTCGCCGTACTTGACCGAGAAGGGCTGGGCTTGGCTGCTCGCAAAAGATACCGAGACGCCGTCGGGGCAGCTGGCTGCGAACCCCAAGTGAACTTGACTCACCTCGTCGGCAGCCAGCGTCGACACGAGAGCCGAGAGGTAAAAGGAGGAGAAGAGGGGTCGAGTGATGCGAGCCATAGCGGGCGAATCGGGAAATGAGCAATCTCGCGTCCGAGAGCAGGCTTCAGCGAGTGGCACTGCATTAAGAACCTAAACACGACGCCCTTCGATCCTCGCCAGATATGAGACCTGTACCACACCAGGTACCACCGATTGTTCCTCCAACCAAATTGCATCCGCACGAGGTTAGCCCTACAAGTTCGCACTCTTCGACGCAAGAAGAAGGCGCGAAGATCCATTGATAGTAGCTTTCGCCGCCGAATGCCGCTTGAGTCACAAGCGCCGAGCTCCGACCTCGTGCCACTTGCGCGCCTTGGCGTAGAGTCGGCGCTGATCGAATCTTATCGGGAATCCGTATGCATTGAAGCAAGACGTGAAGGCAATGCAAAGTGTGAAGTTCCAATGCCTGCACGAATAAACCAGACGAACTGAGACATGCTTCTAGTCCATCTCTTGTGTCCGCGAAATACCACTGTATGACAGTATGTTCCATGCGCTGCAGCCATCGTAACAGCAAACGGACGACCAACGGGTCACCATACCAGTAGTAAACGCTCGTTGCTGGAACAACCGGGCGTTGGCGTCACGTTCGGTGTTGCATCAATCACAACAACTTGGTTGGGTTGCGGCCAAGTGCACACTACGCCGTCGGATCGATGCCGCGTTCCACCCTTGGACGCTGTAGAGAAAAGGCAGGGGTCGCCCTATAGAACAAGCGCACATTCTAATCCCACCACCAACCACGTTTTCGTGTACTCTACCCAGCTAGCCGGATAGGTGTCAATAGCTAGCTAGATAGATGGATAGATAGATAGATAGATAGATAGATCGATAGATATATAGATAGATAGATAGATAGATAGATAGATAGATAGCAGAATGTCATCCACTTCGCAGTATCGGTGGTAGCTAGAGCGTCCGCGGCTAAACCACACAATCGGTGTTGTCAATCGGTTACGTATTTCTAGAGCCACGGCACCTGCAGCTCGCGCTCGTGGCGCACGGTTTGCCGTTCAACTTGGTGGTTGCACCGATATCGTTCTCAAGAAACACAGCGTGGACGAGGCCCATCGCGAGTGAGTAGTAGTACCAAGGCTTAGGTCGAAGCTCCTCGCTCGCATCCAAGAGCAACTACGTCTCGTGGCTCTCGCCGGCCGTGAGCACCTCGTGGTTGCTGTCAATTCCCGTGGCGGGCTCGGTCGCGAGCGGGGCTTCTTGGAGCGTGAGCCACTATGACCCACTTGGTGTATCGACCAGCGACGAAGGTGGCGCTGGCAATGGTGCTAGAACGTTGGAACCGACTTGTCCGTGTCACAAATCCCCCCGTGTCGCCAATGTCACCGACGAGTCGGAGGCCTGTTGGTGCATTATAGCGTCGTCGCCGGGCGATGGTGGCACGCGAAATGGTTGACGCAAAATACGAAACGCAGTAGACAGCGATCTCTCACCGAGTGCAGGTTTGGCTATGTGTAGTCGACCTCGTACGTAGCACTCGAGGTTTGCTCGAGGCGGCCAAGAAAGAAGACGCCGTTCGTTTTGCACTACACTGTAGCGTGAAAGTCCAGTGCACTTGACGCTAGCTCGTGACTGCCAGAGCACCGAGGACCGACCGCACCAAGAGTCATGTCTGTGTCGTCGGTATTGATCGGGCGCATGGGGCTCAGGGAGGGGCGGCGAATCGGCGCGAGATTTGGCGCCTTGACCGTCATGTGTCCGACTCGGGCGACCATTCGTGATATCCTGCATTCTCGACGAGGTAGACTCTCCGTGGCAACGGATGACTACGATCAGCCACCTCATGTATGGAAGTGCCGTCGCACCCACGGGATAAAAGGGTCGCTGGGCTGGAGCTCAGCGTCCGACATGTATCAGTGGCGCCATCGAACCGCCAGGACGATCGAGACACGACTGCGACGATGACATGGCCGAGCGTCTCATCTCGACGATGGACGAGGTGTCTTTCTGTCCAGTGCGACAGATGATCGTGCGCCAGTTGATCATTTTTGGCGCTCGATTGAGTCAGGTCGCATGAAAACAAGAATTCAGCAAGATGATAACGTCAAGCACATGCTGGCCTGTTGATACTATCCATGAAGAAGTCCCTGCATACTATGAGCGCTGCTAGCCTTTGGTGGTCGGAGCCTGCACCAAGTACGTAGGATTGCAGTCTCAGGATGCGTCGAGATGGTACACTTCAATTCGTTGTGGGCGACCGTATGCAGTCAAGTGATAGGCGTGCCCAGGTTCAACTCGACACAACGTGATAAAAACACGGGTTTTATCTTGTATCCGGACAGTTTGGGTATAAAACCGGCACATCGCACGCGTTTTACTACCCACCTGGGTGTTTAAACCCATGTGGTGGCCGGCGAGAGGAAGTGTGCCATTCAAAGAGCAACAGTAGCGGCTTCGTGTGACGTCAGCCATGAGCCGCTTCGTCCCGTGCACCGCCATCTTGCTCAGCGCGGCGCTTGCGCTCCTCTTCAACGTCATCTGGCGTGCGCAGCTGCCGGCGCCACTGGACGTGCCACCCGCAGACGGGCGCTTCGCCGGCGCCGCCGCCTACAAGTCGCTCGCGACGATCGCCCGCGCCAAGCACCCGATCGCCACGGACGCCAAGAATGACGTGTACAGCTATCTCTACGACTCGCTCGAGGCCCTCCGCGCGGCGCATCCGCGTCTTGTTCTCGACACGCCCCGGGCCACACGCCTCGCGGACGACCTGCCATCGACGCACACCCCGGCCGTGCCCCGCGACGACGACGCGTGCGCCAACGCGTCGTGGTACTTCAACAAGACGCAGATCATTGCGCGTGTGCCTGGTACCTCCAACGACAGCATCCTCCTCACCGCCCACTTTGAGTCGGTCGCGCCGTCCGACGCCGGCGTCGCCGTGCTGCTCCAGGTGCTCTCAACGCTGCTCGCGCGCAATGCGACCAGTACGCACAGCCTCGTCGTCTTTTTCAACAACCAAGGCGAAGAGAACGGTCTCTGTGGCTCGAGATGGTTTGTCGAGCAGCACCTCCTCTCGACGTACAATGCCAAAGCCTTTCTCAACGTCCAAGGCGGCAATGCTGGCGGCCGCGCGATCCTCTTGCGGACCACCGACGATGCGCTCGCATTCTTGTACGCATCGGTCGCACCGCATCCGCACATGAACAGCCTCGGCGGCGTCCTCCTCCAGGTCCTCGGCAGCCGTTCCGACTACGAGGTCTACCAGCCCGCGGGCATTCCCGGCCTCGATGTCGCGTTCTACGAGCAGTACGCCGACGCACGTGACGATGCAGTCGATTTCATGTCGCCCTCCGAGCTTCAGTTTTGCGGCGACAACATCCTCGCCGTCACAAGCGCGCTGCTGGCGCTGCCCACTTTGCAGTTTGACGCGACCGGGTCGGCCGTGTACTTTGACGTGCTCGGGTCGTTTGGCATTTCGCTCACGCCGTGGGTGCGCGTTGCGCTCACGCTTGTCGCGATGAGTCTTGCGGCGCTCGTCTTGGGGGTGAGCTACCACTCCTTTCCGCTCTACGACACGATGATTGTCGTGACACCCAAGGCGTTTGCCCTCTCGGTGCTCGGCGAGTGGACGTACATCGTGCGGTCGTTTGCCCAAGCGCTGGTCGGCGGCCTCTTCTTCAATCTGCCGGTCGCCGTGCTTCTGCATACGACGCAGCATGCGCACTTTGCCTCGCTCGCGCTGCCAGCCGGGTTCCTCGGGAACGTTCTTGGTGCGACCGCCGCCGCGCACAAGTGGCGCCATGGCCAGCCGCACCCGAACGTCAACGCGTACATTCACTTTGCCGCGTCCGTCGCGTCGTGCAGCGCCGGCTTTGCCCTCCTCGCGCTTCTGCCAAGTCCGATTTGGATCTTGTTTGCGATCGCATCGATCGTTTACTCGAGCGTTCTGCTGGTCTTTATGGCCGCGATCATGTACGTCCGGTACCAGCACGAGACGTACGGCCCGGACGACGAGGCCACGTACATTCCGACGCGCACGGCCATGATGTACTACTCGTCGATCCGGTTCGAGAACGTGCTCTCGCCGCGCGCGCCGCAGCTGCGCGTCTACCTTGGCCTCGCGGCGGCCGTCGCCGTGTACATGTTTCTGGCGTTTGAGCTCTCGGTCGATATTGCGCTCGATGTCGCGTCGGTCGGGGCCAAACATGCGCTCGTGCTTTGGATGGTGCCGCTGCTCTTGACACCGACCTTGTATGTCCTCGTGTCGCTCTGCGCCTACTGGGAACCCAACGCACCGAGCTACCGCTTCTACTACCTCGTGTACGTTCTGCTCTGGATCGTCATGTCCATGTGGTGGCTCGTGACGGGCTAACATCGAATGAAGACTTTAGACATACCTCGGCACGTATTAGATCTTGTTTGGTTGGTTTGGGCATGCCATGCCCGATGGAGAGCGTGCCACGTTCCCGTGCTCGTAGGCTCTTGATCATTGGTCCAGAAAACACATACCTTAGCCCCATGCCTTGGCCCCTTGTACCGAGTCGATCCTGGGTCCATGCATCCATTCGAACTCGTACCGGTACATTGGACGGCAACAGACAACCTGTACACCCTGCCGGTAGACGCATGATCGTTATTCTACTAGAATCGTGCTCCAGTCTGCGTGCTGGCAATGTGTTGGCTGCGAGCGGCTTGGACGGAGCGTTTGTTGGATCGCACAAATCCCCATGCACCGCTCAAGGTCCAACCCGACGATACTATGCTGCCACGTATGGAAATATTAACATTGCACAATCATTTCTAGTATGAAATTACTTTGCTACACGGGCAATCAACGCCTTGAAGATATTTTCGGGGCCATTGGCTTTTTGGAGCCGACCAGACCGAGCGTGGCAGCCAGCACGACCCGAGCGATGCAGCCGCGGAGAGTACAAAAGCGCGCCGCCTCATGGACTATTGACAGGACGCAGCGTCGCAGGTCACGCTTCTCCAGCGAGCGATACAAACACCAAGTACACGCAGCGCGGCGATGGCTTGAACGCCTTTACAGCCCTCGGCGGCGCGAGTGATCTCGGTGCCTCAGAAAACGAAATCGCATGTCCCTCTACGACCCGCTCTACCACCAGAAGCGCGCTGCAAAGCTCGCCGATGCCAAGTTGGCGGCCCAAGAGGCCCTCATGCGTAAGCCAAGCCCGACGGCGGCCACGAACCAAGGTTCGCGTGCCACCGCGTTCGGGCGCAGCACGACCCCGACGATTGTCCGCCAGCGTGCGACGACAACTGTCCCGGTGACTGCGCGATCGACGATTCGGTCGACGCAAACGCCCGCCACGACGGCAGGGCGCCCAATGACGGCGAGCAGCCGCAACGCCATCACCGCCGCGCAGCGTCGCGAACCGGTGGCGAGCGTTGCACCTGCTCCGTCCAGTG